TGCTTTTACAAAAAAATGGTATTATACGTTCAAGTTGGAAAATCATATTCGTGGAAACTATCTCTTGAAGTAACTGCTATGTATCTATGTGAGACATTGGATTAAATTGAAGGAGATTCATTTTGGGGTGATAAAAGGAAATTCTGGTGATAGGGATGAGAAAATATAAGGAATTTTGTGGGACATAAGAGGCAAATTTGAGGAAACTAAAAGAAAGTTATAGAAAACAAGGCAACAATATTCTTCAAGGAAATAGTGTTACTGATTCCGTAGTGTAAGATAATTTTTATGGGATAATACGTACCTACAAGAAATCGTTGAGAAATGCGTTATTATAGAAAATATGTGAAGAGGAAGAGATTGAAGGAAATATTCTGATTAAAGAAAAATAAGTAAACATTTTGGGGATGCGGAAAATTCACTCCCCGAAAAAATGCATGTTGAGATTAAATCGAGGATTAAATGGTTAATGCAGTAATAAATTAAATAGATTTTGTATGAGAGTAAGTATTCCGTATTCATGAGTGAAATGAAGTGTAATGGAGTGAGTCACATCTAACATTAGGTACCTATATACATATCACTGATATCACTTATCAGTTTGTGAGTTTGTCATAATGACAATAATTTCTAGGGGTGAACCTCTGCTTTTATATATTAAATTAACTGTGAAAGTGTAGGTTAGGAAAATTTAGAGGTGTGAAAAAATATAGATAACGGATTTTTTATGAAATAAGGAAAATATATTTGGAGAACATCAAGAGTAAATTTTAAGAAAGCTAAATGGAAATCTTTAAGGTGAACTAAGGAATCTTTGGGGGAAAATAGATTTAGAATCTTGTTCTTTTAGCAGCAGCAAAGCAAATATTCTTGAAGCGAATTTTTTCAATAACTGATGTGTGCTTATTTTATGCTTAGAAGTTGTGTGGTTTTACGGTTTTTGATTTTTTTAAATTTTTAAGCTGGTACTCCAACTTCAAGTCTAATACTGGATGTGTAAAATAAGATACCTTTGGAGCCTAGGATACGAATTATGTGGCTTTATATGTTTTTAGCTATTTATTAACTTCAGGCCTAGATGTGCTCGATGTTGTACAAATGGGAATCTTTGAGGATCTTGACTTATGCTAATGTTTGCCGTAACATCCACATTGTACGTTTATATAATATTATATTATATTCCAGTTTCTATAGGTTGTCTTATCTTCACAGTTAAAACTTGGGAAGTTTTCCACATATGACGTATGTTAATGTTACATGCTTTGAATATAAAATATAGGTTGTAGTGTTACCCATAGTCCAGAATTAAATTTAAACCCTTTGTTATGCTATTTTCTAATTCATTTTCGATTTTACGAAAGAACAAATTTAGAGTCTATAAGTACTTAAAGATCACTGTGGTAAATTTTATCGTATCAGTTGTATAGTTGCGGCATGAATATGTAGTGCCATTGTTTCCCTTCACCTGTGCAAGCCATCCATAGTGATTTGTCAGAGGTTTTCCATCTTTGTAGGAAAATAAGGCGCTTTCGGTAGCAAATTCATGATATCTGTGCCGTCTAGCGCTTATTTTCCAACGAATACGAAACACTATGTAAAGAATCGACCGAGGTAAGTTTTCTGATTTATGGAGTTTCCCGAGTGTATTTAGGGTCACATTACATTTTCAAAAATAAAAACTGGAGTAGCATGTTTCAAGAGCTTTCGTCATAACAAAATAGCCAAGGAAAATTTGGGGTATACAAATTACAAATATACACAGTATGAGTTGGTATAACCGTGGCAATTCAATAAATAATTGCGGTTACAATTTAACATAACGTTTCAGTGATAATAAAAAGTTTAAAACACGAAGAAAAAGTGTTTTTATAATGGTAGTACCTACATTAATGGGGAAATTATACCGAATTGATTTTTGTGCGTATCGATTGCCGCCGTTCGGGGAGACTTGTATGTAGAATGGATGTTTAGAAAATCATTAAACATTTTTATACAAAATACACATCGAGGTATCTGTTTGGTGATTCAAAACAGGAAGGAGATTAACGATAAGATCTGATCTGATCATAATGTACTATACTTAAATACAAATAGCAACAAACCTCGTATATGATCTCTAAATAAATATCGGAACCTACGCATTATACACATTAATATTTTTTCGATTGTATTCAACTCATTTGCTCAATGTTGTACAAGGATAACCCGCATTCATCCGTCTAATACCTATGTACAGATATTAATTTCACTCTCAAACATATACCATTATTCTGTATGTATTTTCCTTAACTTTACTTTTGGCTAATGCCAATAGGGGAAATGTTTCGCTGAGCAATTGAAATGGAAGTCGATATTAGTACACATACGGCCACGTGTAAAATTTCAAGACGTATACGTTTTTCCAGGTAAAGTCACCCTTGCACGTGTAAGTACACCAAGTTCGCTCCCAAAAAAACTCGCCTCCCGGTAATTTCGCCCGTCCAGGATATTCATCTAACGGAAGATTCGCGTACGAATAATATTCGAATCTATAAAGTATTCTCATACGGAGGTTCCCTTTGGGGATATTGGCCCTCGAAAAGCGACTTAATTGCCAACCTTTTGCAGAATTGAAAATTAACTTCCTTTCGAGTATGCCGTCGTGACAAATTGTGTAAAAATACAAAGTAGGTAGTAATTTTTCAATATGATTTTACAAGAGAAAGACAATACTCAACTAAATAACCTGCAAGCACTAAATTACAGCCACTCGTTATTCGAGGAACCATTCACGTGTTCACTTGCGGTTTTCAGTGTAAAAATCCAAAAAGGAAATTAAAAGATAATTGGGGTTTTTTCACATAAACAAATAGGTAATTTTCAATAAGGTTTTCGGTTCAAAATGTGCACATACACGGTGTCCATTTTTCGAGTGCCACTATGGGGATCTCGCTTACCTGAAGAGATAGAGAGTTGGTTAAATGGGGACAAAGTTGCAAATTTTCGTGCTGAATAATAATCTGAAATTGAAATTTAAAATATCTAGTAGTTTTGAAAATATCGCAAACAAACGAAAATTTCTGATGACCTTCTTTTTTCATGGTAAACTAATCGTACTAGATATTTCTAATTAACACATTATTCAGACACTTTTTAATTTTTTGGGAAGAGTGCTTTGGAAAAACAAAACGTTCTTTTATCGTGAACAAAAGTTTGACAGTTTGATCCATCTGTCTGGTGGGAGCGTTAGCAGGGAACTAGTTGTGTTGAGAAAATTCTATTTTCATCTGAATAGAATTGAACCTTCGTTTTGCAAGAAAATTATAATTCAAATTAGAATAAATAATATTTTCGCAATAAAACTAGCACAAACGTAAATGGCACTACTTGAAATAACTCAACCTTTTGTTCACAACAAAAGAACGTTTTGTTCTTAGGTTTTGTTTTTCCAAAGCACTCTTCTTTGCCCTCATTTAATCAAATTTCTATCTCTTAAGATAAGCAAGATCCCCTGGAAAAATGGACTCCGTGTATACAGGTTGGTGACTTGGGTAACGCATCTTAGGGATTTTAATGTAAAATTCATAACATGCGATTATTGGCTCCCCAAATTATTTTAGAGCAAAAATGTAGTAAGGTTTTTTGTAGAAAAAAATTTCCAAAAAGAAATCTTCATGGACGTCATAGCAACTGGATGATAGAACAACAAGGAAGGTAGGAATTAAACAAAATTGAGAAAGAGAAAATTTCAACAGGTCTACCCAAAAAATTTAAAAAATATTCGACGATTGTAAGTAGAACAATTGTATGTAGTTTTCGACTGGAGATGCTAGTCGTCTTTCGTGCCTTTTATATGATTATAAAATTATTTAAAGAAAATCTGAAAAACTACTTTTCAAACATATTTACAACTGTGGATCTATTTTGCATGCAAGGAACTCGCAAAAAATTGTGTATTTACGGATCGGAATTTTTAGAGCGATTTCTCATTTTCACTATAAAACTATTGCATGTGCAATTAGATTAGAGTTAGGTACTGATTTCCCAAAAGATTAGGTGCTATGTCACTGTTTCAAGTAGATAAATAAACAGAAATTTTACTGAAATTCGTCTAAAACTGTCGAACTTACAAGTATAAGGGCTGAACTATCAAGAAACTCTCCACTTTTCGAAAATGATTTGGTTTTCTTTGGAGCGAGTTTCTTCATTTCTTGATAAAAAAAACAATGGGTCCCTCGAGGGCGCGGTTTTCGGAATCGGGCTAGAATTTTCCTGACGAAAATTCTCGGGCGCAGAGCTCCTGAGCGGATTCTAATTTTCCGTGAGGAGAGTTGGGGATTGATACCATGGTAATCGTGACTTTATTAACTGAATACCTACTGATCAATGTTTGTGCGATGCTTTAGTTTTACTCTGTTCCAAATTAGTTTCATTAAATTAAAGTCTAGACATATTATCCTTTAAGTCGTTGTAAAACGTCTCAAATCGTTCATGTCTGTTTAGCATACAAGAGTGCCGCTGTTTTTAGTAAGTGTGCTGTATGATTTACAACATATGTTTACAACGATTCCGCTTGTAAAGCCATTCGGGCACGTGTTAACTAATCGATTATTCCCCATCTGCGACGTTGCCGATTCGTATTATAACAAACTAAAAAAAAATGGGAATTTGCGTGAGAAAATCGATGCGTGTAACGGAAGCGGAACGCTTTTAAAATTTTAAGCATATTAGTCTATCCGATAGTTATAGCATCTACATACACCCTTCTGGTGACCATCTGCGGAAATCCGTTAGAATCCCTGTTTGCCTGAGATGTTATCTACGATGGGATCGCGAGATAATAAACCCGCGCGGCCATTGTGGTGACTTACTATAACATGGCCGTCGCCAGGTGAGGGGTTAGCTTCGAACACCTCCCTAAATACATACACGTTTATGTACCTCACCCCATCATATGCCTATACACAAAAATTTAACAAAAGCGCTTATTCTACGGAACTAATTTTCACTACTTTTTCCAGCATCAAGAATGTCATCGAGCCAAGTATGTCGACCGCACTTCCACGCGCCTCTTCACCCATGGTTATCCGACGGTGCCAAACCGTTGACACATTCGGGTCCCTGGGTTCCTTTCGGCGGCGCGGACCCCGACAGTAAATCTCAATCGCCGTCGTCGGGTCACGCTCAGCCGCCTAACCTCTTCTCGTTTCCACCCACGCCGCCCAAGGACAGTACGCCCGATTCGGTTGTACCAACGTCGGGCGGTTCGGAGTACCAAAGTGCTGTAGCGGTAGCGATGGGTGCCTTCATGCATGATAATCAGCAAAGCTGCGCTCTGGACGTGAAACCGTCGACTGTTTCAAACAAACAACGCGAAGGTAGTGAATATGAAGGGGCCTCCTCCGGCATGTTTAATGGTAACTTTGAAAGCTCGTACGGTGCTGCGTATGGCCACGGTATTCACGGGGCCGCGTACTCGCCCCAGACTAAGCAGAGTTTGGTGTCGCAGAACGCGCAATCGCCCAACAAACCTCGCAACAAATCGAGAACCAGCGCCGGTAAGATCGTAAACGTTCTTTTTTTTGTTTATACGCTTTTTTGTTTATCACATGGGCTATTGGTTGACCTACGTTTGCTTTTACTAACAATTTTTACTCACACTACATATTTACCGCTACTAACAACATGATGGGGTCGAAATCGTTCAAATTATGGGTGTGTATTATGTTCGGGTGTTTTGGTACGAACGATCTACGCGAATGCCAGAAAAGGGCTTTTCAAATTAACCGAAATAGCATCCTCTGAGTTCTCTCCTGAAGACTCGCAATACTCCCAAAGAAAACTCGCCCCCCCCCCCTTCCGGTACATTCGCCCGCGGAATATTCACCCATGGAATTGCATTCACCCCCGGAAAATTCATTGTAAATTAATTCGCGAAGAAGAACTCGCCTGGGCTAACTCTTCTTCCGCCCTTACGAAAACCCAGCCTCACGAAAAAACTCGCTCTCAGAAGAAATTCAATTCATTTCTTCAAAATTTGCTCCACGTTAAATACGGAATCCTCGTTTAGCAGACTCTCCTCCGGAATATTCTCCCAATGAATTGGGGGAATCTCGGGTTCCTCTACAGCATTCGGATTAAAACCCGCTCAGTATTTTCAAAGGAAATATGGATTCCAGGTTTCACAAAATGTGCCAACATTTTCCGAGAATCGAGATCATCCTAACTTTTCTCTTATGCTTCTAAAATTTCCCGACAATTTTCACCGTTTTCTTATACTCCCGACAAATGAAAGAATACTCCTTAGTTTTCAATATAGAATTGCCTTTAGGTGTGGTTTTCCTAAAATTTCCTCTGGTTCCGATTCTTCTAAAATTTAGTTTCTTATATTTCCCTGGAATATCCACTAATTTAAACTATTTCCTTACATTTCCTACACTTTCCTGACTGATTTCACATGCAAGGGCGGTTTAACCCCTAGAAATTATTAATATTAATTAAAATCAACAACTTTTTCCGAACTGTCTCCAAAAAAAAGCTGACCGTTAGAGCCTCACGCAAATTTTCCTCGCTGTCACTCAAAGAAAATTCGCCGCCCTACTCCAGGATGTTGACGAAAATTTTTTCACACCCAAAACTTTTGTCATTTCTCAATGATTTCCTCGCTTAACAATTTTTTCGTAATTATCTCCTTCGGGGATTATTACGAACCATTTTAGATTGCTACTTAATTTTCCCAAAATTCCTGCCATTATCTTAAATGACGGAGTCAGTAGGGGGAAGAGTAGCACTTTTTTTCCTTAAATTTTTTCCGTTCCTCTAGAACGGCATACTCCCAGAATTCCCTTTTATTCCCCCAAAAAATATGTTTCCTCTCAATCTCCTCCGATTTTGTCCATTTTCTCTTCAGGTGCATAGAAGTTATTTAAAAGGCGAGTTTCCACGATTCGCCAACTTAAACGTAATACAATTTTCTCCTAAATCCGAAATTTCGCATTTCTGCACAGAACTTCGAGTTGCAAAAATTTCATTAAAAAAAAATTGACCCTAAAATAACCCTCAAGGAAACTCACTTCAATTATAACTGCCTTTTTTTGAGCCCCCAAGAAAAAATTGTCTCAGATCGACTCGCAAAAAAAATTTTCTTATAGAATGTGGCCTGTAGAATCCATAATTTCAAACAGTTCCAAGATTGGGCTTCTAGTTCAAAAGTTACAGCCCTTTGAATTTTCTTTCGAAATTGGTTTCTAGTCCATAACTTTTGATTGAGAAGTCCGATCGAAAAAGTACGAATTGTTTTAGATCCTACGCACCAAAATTAATAAGAAAAAGTGTTTTCCCGAGAAATTTGGGTGCAGTCGATTTTTGGTAAAAAAGGAAGGTTATACACTGCCTTTTTTTGAGTCCCGAAAAAAAATTGTCTCATATCGACCCGGAAAAAAATTTTCTTATAGAATGTGGCCTGTAGAATCCATAATTTCCAACAGTTCCAAGATTGGGCTTCTAGTTCAAAAGTTACTGCCCTTTGAATTTTCTTTCGAAATTGGTTTCTAGTCAGGGGCGGGCCAGGTGGAATTGCAAAAACATTTTTTGCTTCATTTTAAGGTACTCCTTTTTCGGAAATCAATTACAATACAGTTTTTTTTTAAATTGCAGCTGATAATTAAAAGTAACAAAATATACAATCCAAACGAGGCGCGTCGCCTATCATTGTATTTCAGCACTTTCATGCTACGCCAAAAAATGATAAATTCACTTCAATTAAAACAGAATTTTTTAATTTTTTAACAACCTAACATCAACCCCAATTAGAGAAACGTGTTAATAACTTATTAATAGTGCAAGAAACTAAATACAGCACATACTTATAAATTTCCAACGGGCCATTATGACGTACAGGCCAGGTGGCAATCGCCACCCGCCCCCCCGGGCCAGTCCGCCCCTGGTAGTATTCGCATCTTTATGTACTGAGGCGGGAGGGGGGGGGGGGCGGAATATACCAGAATCCCGGAATTAGGTTCTTCTTTTAAAAATGACGATAGTCTTGAAGAGTGAACGTTTGAGAGAGAACGTAGCTCTGGGGCGTATGGAATACCCCCGAGTATACGAAGATCCGATTATCTTTTGTGGAATATTACTACGAAAGTGCTAGAAAGGAGTTTATCGAGTTTTCCTTTTATTTGCTGAGGAGTGTTTCTGGACTTATGGAATACTCCCCAGTATACAAACATTTCAATGATATTTTTTACTGTTAGCTTTTTCTCTATTACCCTAGCACAGACAGACGGACAAAACCAGCAAATAAGGGGAATTTTTTGCTTTCAATATTCGTCCAATAAAGACGTTTTTAACCCTCGTCCTATTAACACACTTCTAAGGTTTCTCAATAAATGGGACGAAATGGAAGACAGTTGGATCTGTCAGGCGGTGCACCAAAGCAAACGGCCTCTTTTCTATGGGGCATCTGCGCTCACAAAAAAAGAGTTGTATCTATGTAGTGTGACTTTCTGTTCCATTATTTCGCGAGCAAGCTTTTTTTTACACGCGGTGTGATTATTTTTGGTGTGCCACACATGCACACACTTTTTGTAGGTATACTCAAAAAGACCAATTTTCCTCACTTCACGCACCGACATTTCGGATCGTTCCCATTGGTGCATATCGATGCGTGGTAAGCACTAATTAAAACAAAGGCGAAGGAGCGCATGCAATAAATACCTACGCGATACAAAAAAAATCGCTTTTGTTTAAGAATTCTGATCGTCACTAACGCTGTACGTGTGGGAAACAACGAGAAAGGGGTGGCGTGATCTTAATTAACGATGTTTCTGCTCTTTACATTGTTTTACCCGCATAGCAACAGTGTACAGTAGGTACAAAGCAAAGCACTTTTCAATCAAGGGGTCCGTTTTTGTTACATTCAACTTTTAAAGGCGGCGTATAAGTCATACGTGGTGATTTTCGAGAAAACGCTCATTAATTGACATGTGTAGCTGCTCGTTTAAATGACTGTCGAAACTATGTTAATCACTTCGAAATGCTAAGAAGGGCTTTTAATGACATTTGTAATCGAACTTGGCCCATTAGACGAATTTGTAAGACCACCCATACCAAAAGCTCTCTTTGGGCGAAGCAAATACGTTGGAAAGTTTGGGTGCAAAAATTAGTAGTTACATTAACTAAATGCAATTCAAAGATTAACAAAAAAGAATCCCGCTTGGAAAATAGTGATGAAACTGGTAGCGAAAATTAAATTCTTGATTGAAATGCGCTTTATGTAAATTAAATTTACTTCTTCTCCATTATTAGCATAAGTCGTTCCGTTTCTGTAAGCACCATAATTTATAACGTCGCCTAAAGTAGAGAGATGTCAATAACACCACATTTTTCGGAGTAATGTTTCATTTGATGGCTCTCATTGAGCTTAAATTTTGCGATTGTTAGCACAATTGGGAGCCCACCATTTGGATAATGGCAAAAGGGCAAACATTTCGCCAGTAACTTAGAGCGCACGATGGGCACACAGGGTAAAACTATTACCTAAATATCAGAGCAGTGAAGAAAATGACTTGGAAAAGGTCTTCAATTAGTACCTATTCAGAGCACTGTACTTCAATTGCTTTTCAAATTTAGGGAAAAGTGCTTGAACTAAAAAGTGCTTGGGGCTTCAAGCTCTATAGAAGTGCTTGAAGCACTTTCGTAAAATTGCGAGAACTTCTAAAGAGCTTCAAGCACTTTCCAAGGGCTTTAAGCAAGCACTTAACAAAGAGCTTCGGGCACTTTTAAAGAGTTACAAGCACTTTCATAGCGAAACTCTTCGCGTAAAATAGGGGACCAATCTAGAAAACCTTACCCCCACTCTGGCGTGACATGTTTTGTGCTTCATTAGTGACTAGTCCGCAGTCTGCATTTCCCACTTTTGACTTCGACTTCTATTTGGCGCCATTTTTTTAAATTTTTATCTACACCTTTGATGAAATAAAAAATGGTCCCTATTGAAGAACATAAAAACAAAAAAAAATCCAAAAACGACTTCAGTAACACTGTATTTTTGTAAATGTTGATAATGTTTAATTTTTGGAAATTGGTCAAAAACAGTAATCGATTATACGAGAAAAAATAAAGAAAATAAAGTTAATTTCACATCATCGACAACCAATATATATTACCTAGCGAACCGATGGTCTGTTTGGTACAAACCTAGGCAAGGTTGAGGGCCAAGGGGTGAGTAAATTTGTGCCAAAATTTCCCTTGGATCGTTAAGCATTAAAATAAATTTGTTATTGGGCTTTCAAACAAAGGGTAGCGCCGAGCAAGCCGAAGGCGAGTTTCGCACAAATTTACTCATCCCATCCGACCTATTCTGCCAAGATTTGTGCCCATCTCGCTCGAAACGAAGTTTCTCCAGGGATTAGCTCGCACTTTAGTCCTATGGTATATAGATACTCTACTTTTTTAACTTGAAAGAAAGACATTTGTTTGACTGTAGAATCCTTGCTCTTTCTCGTTTGTTACGGCAAAGTAATTTAAGATTCTTGTACAAAACGACTGTGCAGAATTGATTATTTAAAACTTCGCAGAAGAAGGTATGACTATGAGCCAATTACGACCTCCCAAATTCAAAATATATGGAAAACGGTATATTGTGTATAAAATATGGTGCAAGAACCAAAATGTACATATAAAGGTAGCCATTCATTATTAAATTGCGACATTGTATTATGGACGGTCACTTAATTGTTTTGAACGCAAATTTGGGCCCAAAGACTATTATTTCCTCCAGTATAATTAAGATGTGAAACTACTGATGATTCTAGCGTGTTTTTAAGGTGTTGCCAGTAATTTGAAAATGTTTCAAGCACTCCAAATGACTAAGCACGTTCTAGGTGCTTTAAATTTTCAATTACTTGGCTTCAGGCCTTTTTAATGAATGTCTGCAAGCACTTTTAAGGGCTTCAAGCACTTTAAATTGCTTTATATTTTCAGTTACTTGGGAATTCCAAGCTCTGTCATAACATAAAAGTGCTCGGTGCTTAGTGCTCTGGTAAAGATGTACACCCGTGGTATTATTCGCGGAGCGATCATTTTCATTTACTGGGGAGTAGGGAATACCCCTCACATCTCCCCCCTCCGACCCCGATTTTCTTACTTTTAAAGACATCCATGATACATTTCAGGAAAGGATACTTTCGTTGGGTATCCATTTTCTCTTTCTATAACTCGAAATGGGGTGCAATAATAATCCACGTTCAAGAACTCAAAACCTTCACCATAAAATTCAATTTATTTAATACATTTGATGTTGAAAAATAAGTGACCGGTTTCGGCTACGGATGTTAGCCGAAATTGGCCTGATGATGGTTTGTTAGCCGAAACATGTTTTGAATAAATTGAATTTTATGGGGAAGGTTTTGAGTTCATAAACGTGGATTAAGGATACTTTCGATAGTTTTTTTCTTGAAACCACTAAACATTTGAGGGGGAGGGTATAAAATACCTCCTTAAAAATACTTTGCAAAGTACTTGATAATTGTTTTCCTATTATCCATATCACTCCCGTGATGGTATTCGGGAAAAGATAATCAAATCTTCGGTTTTCGGGAAACAACAATTGAATCTCCATTTACAAGAAAGGTTGAAATGGGGAAGGAAGAAAATAACAGGTGAGGGTGCTAAGGGCGTAACGCAGAAATCCAAAACTATCGAATAAAAGAACGTAATATTAAAAGAACCCAAAAAAAAGAGATTTCTCAATTAGAGCGATGATATAAGAGTAAAGGACTACCATTAGAGAAAAACAATCCAAAAGGTGAAGAGAGCAGTTGAACTTCGCGTCCCTCAAGCCACTTCTTCCGAACGGTCATGAGGATCCATGAAACCATGGGAGACATTGGAAAATAACGTCGTATGTAAAACATAAATATGAGCACTATTAAGGAAGTACCGTGTCGACGGTAACTTACCGATCACGTTTGAGTACGGTACAATCGTAATTTTATCTACCCATATAAATGTAAGAGTACATACGCCCCGGACAGACAGTCGGACAGAAAAAAATGACTGTAATAGCGCAAATTAAAAACGTGTCATTTGGAATTTCCAAAATGATTCAATCGTGCTTTTAAACGATTCCCTTATCACCCCTTAAAGTTTGGGAACATTTAAAAGTGTTTTAGAGTTCATTGGAAGCCTTTAAATTCGTTCATACTATTCTCTAAGAGAGAGCATATAATAAAATTTGTAAGAGTGTTTGGAAGCCGGACTTTTTGAAGAATCTTTTAAATGCTTTACAGTCTTTGGTGAATTTTTAGTGCGTAAAAGTATTTAAGAGTGTTTAAGATTTGAGCTGAGGTTTCATAAGTCCTTAAGACCTTTTAAAAGTTTGAAAGGATTGGAACTTCATCAGTATCAAAGAGCCTTTGAGGGTTTCTGAGCGCCTTTAAAACCTTTAAGAGCTCAGCCTTTAAGAGATTTTGTGAGTCTTTTTAAGAGTTTAAGGTTTCTAATAATCTTTAAGAACTTTGAGACCCTTTAAGAGATATGTGGTATTGTCTCAACTTATATTTTTTCTAGTAATTCAAGGGATTCTAAAAGCCCTTACGCATCGCTTACAAATCTAATAATTTTTAAGCGACTTAATGAACAAGAACGCTTAACATTAAGAGCTGTTAATATGTCATTTGCATCTGCAGGTTCTGTGAAGTGTCTGTTCTTTTATAAGCCTTTGTTTGGAGTCTTGCCATGAAAATCAGATACATGTTCAATTGATAAACGCTTTCCAGAACCTAAAAATGCCAAAAGACCAGATTTCATTTATTACTATAGCACATTATGTCTCTGGGTGTAATATTTCCGTACGAAAAAAACAGCGATAGAACCAAGCAAACAGTTTTTACAAACGAAATTAAAGCTCAATTAAATAAAAAACGCACGTGTTGGAATTTTTGTGACTCAATACTTTAAAAGATTTAAAATGTGCACATTGCAATTTTGCAACAAATCTTCAACATATTCTGAAATGGTATCTCTTAAGGCACAAGTCTTCAAAGGTTTTAAAATGTGCACAGTGTGATATTGCTGCAATACATCTTAACTTCAAAGAAAGGATTTAAAATGTGCACATTGTACTGGTATTATATGCAAATGTTAGACAATGTCATTTACCCATATATACGACGTTCGCCGCGATTTTATGATTTACAGTCAAAAAGAGACTTTACATTTAGAATGTGGGTACGGGAAAAAACGGGATTTTCCAAAGGCGGTACGAAGTTCGCCGGGACCGCCAGTGATAAATAAATTTTGAAGAACGTTTCTGAGGTAGATCCCAGAGAGAAGGATCCCAGGAGAAATTTCACCGGTATCTTGCCTGTCCAGATCGGTTTTGGATCCAGAAGAATTTGGAAGCACCATTTATTTCCCCATTGCAAATAGTGTAAATTAATTATTAAAGTTTATTTAGATACCATGTACCGATGATAGGCCCGGGATCCTGATAGCTGTAACTGATATAGAGAGCAGGCACGCAGTTGGGAAAGTGGGCTCAAAAGAACTTTAGGGGGTGAGAGTTGTCGATTTTTTAGCACAAGAATATGGGAAACGGACGGATATACAGACGGAGTACATACAGAAAGGGCACTAGAGAAAGCACAAACAATTAGGAGTGAATTGATACCAGTTGATTGACTCGCGGTCTGACCAAGCTCAATTTTGAACTCGACTTACCGCCACCACTATTATTAGGGCTGTTTTTTTCGAAGGAGCCGGAATTTTTACGCACCCTACAATGTCGCAATACAACAATTTCACACCTAAAGTACGGAATTAACCTAAAGAACAAGCAGGCGGTAGCCCTTAGCAATGTTAAACGGTAACACCTCACTTTCTTTTGGGACATTTTGAAAAATGCGTTAATATTAATCCCATTCCCTCAATGAGACATTTGGGGGTTGAATTATACTTTACGTATACATTTAGTCGGTTAAATCGATAAGAAACGATCAATATCCGACATTTCAACCTTTATTTGTAAATTGGCCGGGATAATCAGATTTCATACACGTTACCCTCGATTGTTGCGGTTGCGGTATCTAAATTCCAGGTGTTCCACAGAAAGTTTCGCATGTCATCAATAAGTAGCTAATATATTTCCAATACCTGCAGTCATTGTCCTATTAATCCTCTTAGCATACCTCAACTGTATACATATCTAGTTCATTGTGGACCGCAGGAAAATAATAAAAGGATAAAGTAAATTTCGAATTGCGTGGATTTTGTAAAGTAAAGTGGTTGGTATTATGTACTATAAGTGGTTCCCTTGACATATTTTCGTTTCAGTGGTTGTACACAATTGGCGATTTATCTTTTTTTAAAAGGTCGTCGATACCGTTTTGCGCTGAAAATATTAATGTTCGATAATTTTAGTGGCGTGAGCGAGTTTTATAAGAAAATAACATTCTGTTTGGGGTTCACCCTAATTTTCTACTTTAAATATTATGTGCCGACCCAATGTTGTGTAAAATTGATCGGTTCCTGTTACTTAGAGGTTTGTTTTGCCTGGGGGATTGTTTTGAATAAGAGAATGAGAGAAGGGCCCGGATTAACTTAATACTAAATCGATTTAGTTACATCTCCGTTTAAGGCGGTCGGTTGTTTGCAATATGTGAGCATCGTCGGTTTATTAATTTAGCTTTTGCGGTCGATATTGAAGAAGTAAAATTTCAGCCACGCGTCTCTGAATACCGCGGACAAACGTGAGCTCTGTTGCATGTTTTTTTTCTTGTGTGTGAAATTTGTATGTTGCATGTTGTCGTTTACAAAATGTGTTCTATAAATACAAGGATATATGCTTTGAATGCCAGCTTTTCGATGATAGCAATCGGAATGTATATTGAAAAAGATCAAGATAGAATCAGCTCTAATAGTTAATTCATTTTTGGAACTGGGCAGAGATCTAAGCCCAAAATGAATTAACTCGTTTTAGTCGGAAAAAAGCCAAGCTTTGTAATATACTTGTTGATTAGGCTTAACAAGAAGCACGATGCATGTTAATCTAAATCTATGATAATTCCGCCGAATAATTGACTAATTTATTATGTATTTTAACAGAGGGGCGAGAGTGTGTCAATTGCGGTGCGACGAGTACGCCACTTTGGCGACGCGACGGCACGGGGCATTATCTATGCAACGCTTGCGGATTATACTACAAGATGAACGGACAGAACAGACCCCTCATCAAACCAAAAAGAAGACTGGTAAGTCTCTCGTTTTTTTCATCGCATTAATCACGGACGGTAATTTGATAAGTCTCAAAATGTCTTTCTGAATTATTCGTTCCTGGGAAGCGGTCGCAACTCCCAGGACATAATTCATTCTGTGTCACTAAACTCGGGTAACAAATGAGATGTGTTCGTCGAGTGTGCAGGAGTAATCGTCCAAATCTCATTAGGTTATAAACGGTCTCATTCAAAGACGTTCGCTCTTGGTTTATTTTGAAAACATATTTTCAGTTCATGAGATGTAAAGATAACGAAACGCTGCTTCGCCGTGAACCTACTTTTTACCGTGTACCTATTATGCTTTAAAATATGAACGATAATCATCGCAGATTGACGATAACGCCTCGCGTACAATGGAATTAAAAGAAATGGATTGAAAAATAACAATACATCGTATACACTTCCGGGGGGCGCAAACCAGGACTTACTGCACCGCGTCTGAAATTAGTAGTTGTACCAAGAAGCGAATTATATTTTTTTTGACGATACACCTATACGGATTGTTTATAGCAAAATTTTTGCAATGTTCTGGATGGGAGGCGTACTTTATTATCACGGGGACTCTTATAAAATCTCGCGGATGAAACTGAGAAGTATAGGAATCCCCCAAATTAAATCAGTTAAAATTAGCATTTGCCATTTCAGTAAATTTTGCCCTACTACCAACCACATTACATTTAATACCAAGTATAATGCTTAGTGTCAGCCGATTAAATTTTGACATAGCGTCAGAGAGGAACGAAATACACACAAAACACTTCAGAGCACTATACCAGTGCTTGGAAGAGATTGAGATGTCAAGAAAAATGTCACTTCAGGCAAACGCAGCTGCGATTCTTTGGATACCAAGCACTGTGATCAAAAATGAAAATTTAGGATTACAAAAATAAAAATTGCAAGCTAATTTAACAATTTGAACACCTTTTGAGCAAATTTTGACGGTTTACTAAGCCGTAAAAGTTTCGTCCCATTCCGTCTGTGTCAAAAGCTTTTTCAATTCGTTACAAAATTGTCAATTGAGTCATGGCTTAACATGATTTTTATAAGTAGATTTATTGCTGAATTTTTGAAAAAAACAAGAAATAGGTACACCTGAAAATGAACTAATTCGTATATCATTAGATGAGAAAAAATCTTCTTTCGATTGTTGAAGTTAACATGGGGAGCAACGATCTACAACATTTTTTTCCCATGTTAATTCCCTATGTTTGGTTTTGGAATATTCACCCGGTATATCAAACCTTTGTTAAATTTCGTGTATAGCTTTATTACTTATAAATTATATACCTAATTTAAAGTTTATCGTGAGAATACTTTTTTGGCACAGGTTAGCACATAGATATTTTGGCATAGTATCATTTCCTAGTGTGTGACGAACATACCTATACATATCATACCATAGTTTTGGACAACAGCCGGCAATAGTTGAATTTAACGCTTTTTTTAGGTAGACGTCCTAACTTTTCCCAAATGTGTTTATTGGATTTTTTTGTACAGTTCTTTAGATTAATCCACAAAATTTTCTTTTTGCGCATATAGGTAATAAAATAGGATGTGAAAATATGAAAATCGAAGATAAAAAAAAGCTGAAAAAGACGGTGCACTCATTTTGTATGGCTCTCTGAAGCAATTGGAGAGAAATTCATGGAAAAATAGACAGATTCATGCAAACAATGCTGATTAGATTAATGTAATGGTAGTACATTTTCTGGAAAATGCGCAAGTGCACCATCCTGTTGAAACCAACAATTTCCAACGTTTGTTTTTTTTTTGTGTGCAGTCATCGTTGTACTCCTAATGAAAAATCCTACTCAGTACAATATGCACTTTTTTACGAGCCATAAAAAAAATATAGTGGATGATAATTTCTCCGAAACGAAACGTTATGTTGAAAATCTCTCCACGCTGTCTTGTAGAGCTCAAATAATGGCAATGAGAAAGTATTTTTTTAGTTTTTCGTACCTGTTCCAAGAACATCAGAAAATATTAAAAACAAAATCGGTAATTTTCGGTTTTTCTAGCACGTCCTCGGAAGTAATCGGAATATTCTGGGTTTCTATACATCAATATACGTTTCACTAATTTGACTATCTTCGTATCTCCTATGGTTTTCGAGATTCGCATGATATTTACTTATTTAATTATGTTCTCTGACATATACATGTAAGGAACTATCAATAAGGATTGATAGACGTTCGCATCGTGGGACACAGTGTAAAGGGTGTTCCAAATTGCTTGTTTGAGATGTTTTTCTGGGATATTCTGAGAACTGAAAGAGAATGATGCGGTTTATACTTTTCCGAAGCTGCCTAGATTGACGATGTTAATTTTGACGTAACGTAACGTAGTTGTATTTCACTAAGTTAAAATTAGTGAAATGCAACTACGTTACTTTAGCAACACACTAATTAAAAATGGAGCAATTCATCAACAATATTTGACGTATAACTTGCGCGAACGTGGCAACAGCGCAAAAGTCCAAAAATACAATAAAAATTGTTTGCTTTACAACTTAGTTATTTGTGGGAATATCAAAGAAGTAGACAGAATATAGTTTCTTAGTAAGGGGGCATATTAAATATTTTCCATAGCTTGCTTAGTTTGTAAAATACAGCACCAAAGTTTGTTTTCTTCAAATCGAGTATACAGGGTGACAATTTGAAAACTTACCACCCCCCATATCTTAGTAAATAAACGAGATATTTAAAAAAATCAAAATCCGTTTCGGTAATTCGGAGGGGGAATCACAATGACATAGTTGGCGACGCACCCCCTCCAACCCCCTGCGCCCCAGCCACCCCAACTTTTAAATCTTAAATAGTGACCCCCCATGTGTGATACGTCGTTGGAAAGCTCTGAAAAAATGCTTTCCAACCATACCAAATAGCATTACATTTAGGTTAGTAATTATCGTGCAAATCAAAAAATAAACTAATATGATACATTTGAAATCTGTCGTATTTAAAACGCAACCGGCGAACATAGACGAACTAAGACAGAGAATAATTCAAGAATGTCGAAATATTGCAAAACCAACATTTGAAAAGGTTCGACAAGAGTTTGAGAATAGATTATAACTGGCGATCAAAAATGAGTTGCTGTCGAGTCGGCTTTGGAAGTTCAAGTTAAATACGATTTTCCATGTTTATTTTTTGATTTGCACGATAATTACTAACCTAAATGTAATGCTATTTGGTATGGTTGGAAAGCATTTTTTCAGAGCTTTCCAACGACGTATCACACATGGGGGGGTCACTATTTAAGATTTAAAAGTTGGGGTGGCTGGGGCGCAGGGGGTTGGAGGGGGTGCGTCGCCAACTATGTCATTGTGATTCCCCCTCCGAATTACCGAAACGGATTTTGATTTTTTTAAATATCTCGTTTATTTACTAAGATATGGGGGGTGGTAAGTTTTCAAATTGTCACCCTGTATAATATTTTACATTTTTTGCACCAATAAATTCTTTATTTTTTTCTAATTTGGAAAATACATAGTTATCATCAGTATGTTACAAGTTAGACTCTGTAATCAATATAAATCAATCTAAAGTCTAAGTAAACCAGACATAGCTGTCAGCCAGATTTGAGATAAATGAGCAAATTCTATTAAAATACTGTTATTTTGAGCATCTCCTGAAATATGAACTATATATTCTACTGCGTACTTGTATTTAATCCACATTTTCAGAACTCAAGAACGGTTTTTCCTATTTGTCAATTTTTTTCTTATCAAACATTGATAACTATGACTTTTTCTTAATGAAAATTTATTTGTGCAAAAAAATATACATTTTATTTCAAAAAACAAACTAGTGCTGTATTTTAAAAACTAAGCAGGCTATGGAAGATATAAAAATACTCCCTCACTATGAAACTATTCTTTCTACTTTTTTCAAATTTACTAAGTTATAAAACAAAAACTTTTTATTGCATTTTTGGACTTTTGCGCTGTTGTCACGTTCGCGCAGGTCATACGTGAAAATTGAGATCGCCAACTAGCAGCTTTGAAAAGCACCTCCTAGAAGTGCAAACTGCATCAGTCTGGCTCTTTTAGTTTTCAAAATATCCCAGAAAAACATCGAAAACAAGCAAACTGTACAATTTATTTGTTTGTTACAAATTGAACTTTACGTCAAAATTGCAGTTTTTCATACTTCATATTAACTAGAATATTTGTAAATTTCTCTCCTTTAGGCCTTAAAAATGTAACACCCCGTATAAATATTTCAATCAATAAAGAAAGGAAAGGAAAACCGAATGGGAATCACACCGTTCACTGGACAAAAGGCGCACAAGGAGCCTTCGAGGAATGCAAGGCCCAACTAGCCAACGCAACGCAACTTGTGGACCTGGACCCCACGAGCCGTCACAACCGATGCATCAGATTTCGCGTTCGAAGCACCCAACCATACAAGGACGGACGATGGAAACCCTTTGCATTTGTTTAAAAAAAACTGTCCCTAGCCGATCAAAAAAAGGCACGTACGACTACCTCCCTACGAAGTCAAGAGAAGGAACAGCAAACTCATCACCGTACAAAAAACAATAAATGAAGTCGCCATCTCAACGTTGATAGCAACCGACGAATCAAACATAATTCAGCACCTCAAATCAACAATAAGTAACACAGAAAACGATACCAGTTATCAAGACCACAAGAATCGAAAGACAAGTGAAAAAAGTCGTACGACTTTGCGACTCTGTCATTCGAAAGGGGGTAATATAGCGTACGCAAAGGTCGAGGAAACAGTGCGAGAGCGATTAATACATAGCAAAATGAACAAGAAAAGAACAGGACAGAGAATTACTGCATCTACGCTACAGCTCAGATTTAGTACTATGCGACTTCTTTTTTTTAAACAGAGGTCGCAAATTTGCCTCAGATAATGATCTCAAAATCGTAGCAGCGTCTCCTTTTGAACCAATGATTCTATTTTGGATAGTATGGAACAGGAGGAGAAACGATGGGCTGAATG